GGGGATGGAGGAAGGGAGGGGGAAAATGATAAGCTGATACCAAGGGCTCAAGTAGAATTATTTTGAAAATGATGGTGGCAACAAATGTACAAATGTGCTTGACACAATGGATGGATGTGTGGATGGTAATAAGAGTTGTACAAGCCCCCAGTAAAATGATTGAAAAAAAGATTTACAGTTTCAGAAACCCATAGGGGCAATTTCCTCTACCCTGCAGGGTGACTGAGTCGGGATGCACTAGTGGCAGTGAGTTTGGATTTGGGGCTTATGTGTATTACTTCATTGACTCCACAGGACACCCTGGTAAGGTAGGCACCGGACAGAGCAAACGCTGAGGCACAGAGAGGTTGGATTCCTACCACCGCGCAGCTATTAAGTAGCAGAGTCAGGGTCCAAGTTAGTTTGCACACAGAATCCTGATCTCTATTGCTTCTTCTCTGAGAATGCAAAGCCTTATAGTTTAGCATTTGTTAAAATTTTGTGGGAATAAATAAATTTTATTTTAAAATAGAGAATTATGAAAAATGAACAATTTATCATACCTTAGTTTTACATTTTGACTTCAGGACTTTGTTCTTATTTTTAAATTTTTTATCTATATCTAAAAGTGATTCTGACCAGTTTTACATTATTTTATACATTGTGAAAATTCAGCAAAGATAAGAGTACTAGTTTATATACAGGTCAGATAGAAATTTACAAGTTTAACAAAAATAGAATTGTAACTTTACATTTGTTTAGTTTTTATCTTGTTTTTGAAAAGTATTCTTTTCCTAAATGATAACTACACTTCTTTTTAATGGTAGGAATCTAAGAATAAATTCAATATTTTAAAGTATTCCAAAATGTAAATATGTATAACTCCATTTTATTGTTCATTCATATTTCAATTTAAGATTAGTTATGGTATTTTAATAATTCTTACAACTATTATTCAATTGTTCTGAAATATTTTTTTGAAATTCTAGCCAAGTATCTTAATTTGCTGTAGATATTTCTGCCATAGTATTGTTTAGCATCTACTAATTCCAAGCTCTGCTCCAGAATTTGGACCACTAGTTCAGTGAAGGAATTTATTTTAGAAAGAGCCTCCTAAGGAGAACCACTGAAGTGATCACAGTTAGGTCAGAGTCATGTTTTCGATTCTCTTCATGTTTGCTGATATGGTTAGATGGCATCACTGCATTCTGAGCTGGCCCTCTTCACGTGGCCTGCCTGTACTTTAGCTTAGGTGCACGTGCCTCGATTTACAAGCAAAGCGGTGAAAATGGCACCAATTTTTTAAAGTTTTTGCATTGCCCTTTTGAGCTCAGAGTGAGGGCTGCTCTTCAATTTTCTTAGTGGGTCTGCCCCTTGCTGCTGTGGCCCTGGCTCTCCAGCTTTCCTGCTGCCTTTCCCTGTCTCTTTGGGAACCAGCATTATTACTTTTGATTCAGTATCTCATCAGTAATGACTTTTTAAAAAGTTCTGTCTCATCTTTTCTCTGGTATTTCCTTACATTTTTTATGATGGTCTTATGTATTCCTAATAGAAATTTGAATTTGTAACTTTAGGAATTTTTATTACTGTTTTTTAAAATCTCAGATTTATTTATTTATTTATTAAAAGATCATTTTATTGGGGACTCTTACAATCCATAGCTTTTTTTTAATGGTGATGAATACATATTTAAATTAATTGATTTCTAGCTTGCCACTAACAGTTTTTCGTTTGTTTGTTTTTAATCTCTTTTCAAGGCCAAGAGACAAGCTTCTCAAGTCTTTACTGCTGAGAAAATTCCTTGAAGAACTGAGCATTGATTGCAGAATTATACTTTGCTTTTGAAATTCACTTCTTAAACTCCTTAATGCAACTTAAAAATTTCAATTCTCTTAAGTACATAACTTGAAATAGTTTCATTTTTAAAATGTTTAAATGGTGTTAATGAAATACTTTAATAATTATTATTTCAATAAAATATCATGTTATATATCATTGGCTTTTTCTTATTCTTTCGGAAACAGATTTCCTAATATGGCCATAAGCTAATATGTGTTGGATCCTTACATATGTTAGGTATTTTTTTCAGTATGTTATATATATTGTTTAATCTTCGAAATAGTCCTTTTGAGACAGAATTATTCTTAGCCTTCTGAGGACACTAGCACCAAGGTTTCGTAATTTTTCTGAACTTAGTTAAAAAGATTCCAACTCAGGCTTTCTCCCTTCCAAGCTTTTGCTCTTTATTATACCATTCTGCTTTTTTTTTGTAACAGAGTGTATGTAATATTCAATTGTGTACTCATCACTAGTTCATAATAACCACAATATTTATTAGGGATAGCTCACTAAAAAGGCATTGCTTTTGGTAAATTTTTACACTATTAGTAGCCTAAATATTTTGTTACTTACTATTCCATAGTTATTTATAATAAATTCTAGGTATTTTGTGTCATATGTCTTAGAATCTTGTTTAATATGCCCTCTGGGAAAGAAACTTTCAGCTAGATGCTGATAGACATTGGGTGTGCCGTGTATGTCAGTTAAAATTCTCTTGCAACAAGAACACTGGCATACAAACCAAGGAATTCATTGAGAGATTTTCACAAGCTCACAATAGCCTCAGGTAACTAAAGAACTGAACTTCCTTTTCGGGGGATGCTGTGTAGAGGCATTCAAAATGGTTCAGCATCTGATCTACCAGTGTAGGCTGTCCTACAATGCAGCCTCTAATAAAACTGGACTGTCCTGAACCCCTGCTAATAGAACTGTTTACTTTTATACAAAGAAGGTTGGTAAAGCACCAAAATCTGCATGTGGCTCGTGCCCAGGCTGACCTCGAGGGGTCCATTCTGTGACACCTTAAATTCTCATGAAGTTGTCCAAAATGAAAACTGTCAGCGGGGTCTATGGTGGTTCAAGTGTGTCCAGGACAGAATCAAGCAAGCTTTCCTTACTGAGGAACAGAAAATCAGGGGCTATGATGGCTCAAGTGTGTCTAAGTGTATCCAAGACAGGATCCAGCGAGTTTTCCGTACTGAGGAACAGAAAATAATGAAAGTGTTGAATGTACAAGCACAGAGTCGGAAAGCTAAATAAAAACAAATGATGCTTTTTGAATAATTTAAAAAAAGTTTTAGGGGCCCAAATATAATTTGTAGCAAGAACAATCTGATTAAAAGCTAAGATAGAATGTTCTCTTAAAATTCAGATTCCAGAGCAGATACTAAGGGAGGACATTGGGGCAGATGAATATATGGATACTCAGCAACAAAAGGAACCAGTATCCCGATGAAAATGAACCAGACCTTTACTTGACTGAAGTTTTATACATTATATGTATTCTAGTAAGAATTTACAAGTTACACTCCCAAGAAGTGCCCTCTGCCATTCAGATGTAGCATTGATTATGCTTCATATCATGTATTTATCTTAGGCCACCATTTTCTCAGATTCGCTAACGCTACCCCTGTGTAGTCTCGGTTCTCTCAATCCATCTTCCACTAGAGCTAAACGAATGTTTTGTGACACTAGTGTAATCGTCCTTATTGCTCATTGATGAAACAAAAACATCCTACATAACAGCCTTGCTTATGTCTGTCTGAAGTCTTATTTCTCACCACTCCTTTCGACCCCTCTTCCCCCGCCCCCCCTCCTACACACACACCTTTTGGCTAGAAGTTGTTTGTTAACCGATAGCTGCTTCGAACGCTTTTGACCTTAGTACTCTACTTGGTTCCTGAAGAATAACGCAGTATCATGGGGCGCTAAAGGAACAAGCACGTCTGTCTTGGAAGAAGGACAGCCAGCGTGCTCCTTAGTGGCAAAGACTTCGTCTCACCTACTTGACGTGTCGTCACAAGTAACCAGTCCCTGGAAAGGGACATCATGCTGGGTAAAGTCAAGGGGCCGTGAAAGAGAGAGAGGCCCTTGACAACGATTAATTAACACAGTGCTGTAACAAGAAGATCACGCATAGGGAAAAGTGCAAGGACGGCGCCGGACCAAGCAGTGCTTCCTTCTGCCGTGGGTAGTCGCTATGGATCGGAGCCTGCTCAATGGTGCCCGACGATACCTTACAGCATTAAATACCATTTCATGTGGCCTATTCATTAGAGCATAGCATATGCTCAGTCAAGACAATTCTCAATATATGTAAAAAGATAGAAATAAAGAATGTTCTTTGATAGCAGTGCAATCAAATAGAAAGCAATAGCAATAAGATACATAGTGAAACCCCAAACGTTTGTAAACTAGGCACTCTGTTTTAAATAATCCATAAGTTAAGAAATCACAAAGTAAGTTGCAAACATTTAAAATAAATGATATTAAAATGACATTTGGAAAAAGTGTTTCCTGAGCTGGTCGAGCCTGGATTGAAGTGTGTCCTCTAAGTGTTCAATGCGAATATTAACTCCCAGTATAGATGGGTGCTTCATTTGTGACCAATTAGAGTCTCTATGACAGTTTTCCTTTACAAAAGTAACATTTTGTAACATTTTTTAAAAAAAATAGACCCTTCACAGAGGTTGAGAAACAGTGTTCTATGATCCATATTTATGATCTGTGTCACGATATTTGCTGTGTGGCAGCTTATCCTAATTTTCTATTTGCCTTTTTACTATTTCCTCCTTGAACATAGACTTTGATTCCAGAGGCAATGTTAAGAGTTTGGTGGTAGCCTCAGGGTGCCTGGCAAATAGAGGCTTTAGAAATACTTTTTGAGTGAGTGAAAGTAATTACTAATCTTAGAAAAGTAGTGGCAGAAAATGTAAGTCATATATCTCTGATATGCCAGCTAGCTACCTGCAAATGATTTTTCCTCCCTTAGTTCAAGCTGATTTCTGTAGGAGTCAGATAACTCAAAGAAATTTCTTGGAGAAGTAGTAAGTAAAAGCATGACTTTTACAGTTCCCACTATCTTTAAGCAAGTGATGGAATTAGGAACCTTTTCCCCAAGGAGAGAAAACAAACATACACATACAATACTCACTTATTCTCTAATTTAGATACTCTAGTGCAATGGTTCTCAGCCTTCCTAATGCCGCGACCCTTTCATACAGGTCCTCGTGTTGTAGTGACTCCCAACCATAACATTATTTTCATTGCTACTTCATAATTGTAATTTTTCTACTGTTATGAATCGGGCGACCCCTGTGAAAGGGTCGTTTGACCCCCAAAGGAGTTGTGCCCCACAGGTTGTGAGACGCTGCTCTAGATCAGTTCTGGATATTTTTGGCTTCAGTACTTTTTGACCCTTAAAAATTACTGAAGTCTCCAAGAAAATGGTGCGAATTATGGCTTTCAATATCTACCATATTAGAAATTAAGTCAGACTTTAAACGCAACATTTAAAAAATAAGACCATCAGAACAATGCTATAATAAGACTCCATATTTGATATTTTCTGAGAAATAAAAATTATATATACATAGGATCTTTTAGCATAAACCATATAGCAGCAGACAGCCTCGTTTTGATCCCACGGATATGTACTATGTATTCCCATACGTAGGCTTGCCCAGACATGGTACCATACATGTGCTTGAGGGACACTGGACTGATTTTATCCTTGCTAGTCATCCTCGTCTTCATCTTCAGTTTCTTCGTCTTGCTCGGCTTCGAGTACAGCTGCTGCCTGGGCAGCCCTGAAAGACTGCTCCTCTTCCACACTTGGGTCATCCATTTCTGTGATTTCTGGACCACTGGGGTACTCTTCATAAACTGGTGGGGGAGCTGGTGGTGTGTAGTTGTCTGGGCTATACTTATGACCCCAGCCTATGTAGATATTTTCAAACTTTCTATAAGTTAAAAAAAAGTAAACATAATTTTTTGTAAGAAAAATGAACCTTCTGTAAAGATTAGACATTTCAAATTTATCAATGTCTCAGAATTTGTTTTTAATTCATTTAAGAATACTAGAAGTGAAATATCTCAATAATTAATGATCAAAGAGATTTTGTTCCCATTTGCTTATGCTGTCTGAGAAAACCCTGGGGATAGACCCTGTTAACAGGTATGGTGTGCCTGGACCACAAACAAAGGCTTTTCTTTGATTTATGTTCATGGGAGGAAAAAGAGTAACGGTACTTCAGGATTAAAAATGCACTCCTTCCACATAGCTACTTAAGAATAATTTGAAATGTACTCAGCCAGCGAAGTTTTATCTGTGTTATTAGGTAAAACATACAGAAATATAAAACAAATATGGGTTTCTGTTCTAAGTGAGGGTAAAAGGGCATTTAATACCCTCTTTATCCTAATTCTCTTGAATGTGATAGCTTAAATATTTATTTTATGAAAATATATAGCAAAAATGAGAGGAGATTTAAGCTAGTAATTTAAATCCTTCTTAGCATTACCTCCAAAAATCCACGGAAATAAATGCATAAATCAAGCATCCAGATAGTCAAAGAAGAAAGCTGAAAGTTGCTTGATTAATTGGGTAATTTGGATGATAGGGCAGAAGTCTAAAATACCCCAATTTCCAAAATGTATTTCTGTGTCCTATAAATATCATGTTAGTAAGTTTTATGCCATAACTGACCTAACTCAAAAGACAAACTCGCTGCTATCGGATTGCGGTTCTGTAAGGACGGGAGCACCGCTGTGTGGATTTCTGAGCCTGCAACTCTCCTGTGCTTCTCAGAGAGCCTGTTTTTCTATCACCAAGTGACTGGCGGCTTCACACTGCTGGCCTGTGGTTAGCAGCCCAACATGTAACCACGATGCCACCATGGCTCCTGACACAGGAATGAGGGGAAATGACAGTAGCTGGCCATTCCAGTGATCATTTATAATTGCCAGAGTTTATGTAGTTCCATTTCCTTACTTGCCATTGGAAAAGGCATATGCTCCAGGCCAAAGGTTGGATCGGAGGACTGCAATGGCATATTGAGGAATGAGATTCGATGATAGCCGTGTTGTCCACGGAGGTACATTCCGAATCTCTGAAAACCAAAGAGAAACTTTAAAACAGAGCTCCAGGTACAGATCTAAAACATCCATCTGTGCAACACAGAAGTCATTTTGATAAACCTTTTCAAAATGGCCCAAGCCCATACCTATCACACATGGCATAGCAAAGTTAAAGTGTCAACAGCTGAACCAGAGAGCATTATACAAGTATGTCATGGTTCTGGAACTGTGCGATTTGAATGGGCGGAGTAAAATTAGATGACCAAATGGGCTATTAAATCACTTCCATGGAAAAGTAGGCACAAAAACTAAAACAGAAAAAAACCACTACCATGGAGTCGATTTCAACTCACAGTAAGCCTATTGGCCAGAGTAGAACTGCTCCTTAGGGTTTTTGAAGCTGTAAATCTTCATGGGAGCAGACAGCCTCATCTTTGTCCCCCAGGAGTAGCTGGTAGGTTTGAACTGCTGACTTGTGATTAGCAGCCCAATGTTTAACTCGCTGTACCACCAGGGCTCCTTAAAACTTATTAGGAAGAAACAAATCAGTGGGCCACTGAATTGATTCCGAATCATAGCGACCCTATAGGACAAAGTAAGTGTGACCCACCACACCACTAATGCTCCTAAGCACTGGGACAGTAGTAGGTTAAAAAGCAAAACTCAAAAAAAGCCAGAAGCTCATACAGTATTGTACTATCCCTAACAATGCCAAGTGTTTGTGGCCTGTAGAATGCCAAGCACAGAAGAATGGTGTTCCATACAACCACCAGCATTTCCACGTTGTGTTTCCTCACTACAGCATCTCTTCAACCTCTCTCAGAAAGCTGGTGTGGCTAGTTACATACTTGTCCTCATACCATGCCAGACTCCCTACCATGTCCTTAAGGGGGAACGGATGGAACCCGAGCTCCTATTCACTTTTCTGAGGTTTCCAACTCTCGTATATTTACCACAAAGTGTGCACAGTATGTTATATATGTGGTGCATGATTAAGAGCTTGGCTGCTAACCCAAAGGCCTGCAGTTTGAATCCACCAACTGCCTCATGGGACAAAAAGAGGAGCCTGCTTCTGTAAAGATTTATGGCCTTGAAAACCCTATGGAACAGTTCTGCCCTTTTTTGAATTTAACTAGACAACACTTTTTGGTTTTAGTTTCATGAGATTTATATATATCGCTTGTGTCTGCATGTTATTGTTTATGTAAACTCACCTAAATCTTCAGAGATTGGTGTCAAAAGTGGAGGCCCCACTTCCTGTTCTATATAGTCATGCTCTTCTGCCTTTTCTTCTTCTTTTTCTTCATCTTCTTCCTCTTCTTCCTCTTCACTTTTCTGTACGGGGTTGAACCAATTACAGCGACCCTAGGAATGAAGGTTGTACTATTGAAATTTTATTGAAGATCTTAAAATCTTAGAATATGCATTTGTTTTAAAAGCAATTATCAGCATGTAAGTAAGATCCCACTACGTGGGGATGTAAACTTCAGTCACTCAAAGCACGTTTCCTAAGTGCTATTCTCAGGTGGTGTCTGGGGAGAGCGCTGGAGAAGATTGAGCCATCTGTAAGGGTGTATAGGGTTGCTATTAATTGAAATTAATATGTTGGCAGCAGGTTTGTTTATTTCCAAGTAGGTAAATTCATCAGCATCTTGAAGTTTAAAAATATTTATATTTAAAAATTTTAAAAAGTCTAAATGAAAATGCTTTGCGCTTTGTAATAAATTATTTACGTGAAGGAAGTAAAGTACCAGTGTGGCTATGATTATTAATAACAGCAAAATAAAAATGTGCTAACAAGTCTGGATACAGAGTTTAGAGGGTTTTCATTTTTCATTTAATTAACTCTGACCTTAGAAATAGCTAAGGTTCATCTCTTATCTTAAATGAACTTTTTTTAACTGTGGATGAAAAATGTAACAGTGGTTATGAGAATTCTGGCTCTATTCTGTCTGGCCTCACACATGACTTTGCTACATGCTTGGTATGTCTTTGTTTTTTCCCTGCATTTGTTTGTTTTTTCCACAACGATTTTATTGGCATATAATTCACATATCATACAATTCAACATAGTTCAATCACATCAAGAAGCCTGCACAGTCTCACCCCTGTCACATTTCTTAGACGCTACCTCAATTTTCTCTTCCCTAATGTAGGGTGACAATAGGAATTTGTTCATAGAGGTGTTGTGAGGGTTAAATGAAATTACAGATATAAAGTATTAGAACAGTACCTGGCACAACAGATGTTACATAAGTGTTGTGCATCACAGTTTGCTTATTTTTGTTATAATCCTTCATTCCTCTTGGCATAAAAGTTCCAGTAATTCCCATGTATTATAGAGATAGAATTCAAATGAAAACAAAGCTGTTTCATAACATACACATACACACAAACTTAAACCTTTATGCCACTTGTCAAATATTCCATAGAAGTAGTACTTTTATTTTCCACTTGAAAAGAAAAATCTATTTGGAAATCTCCACTTCACACCACTGGGCTACTATTATGACATATCATGCACTGTGTTTTTACTTTATTTTTATGGTCATTTCCTCTAGAGTCTGAAGGGCTTCACTTCTAACTGGCTGACAGATTGAGCATGGCAAAGCACCTACCTGAGGGAGAATATGTTGTACATGGTGAACCCAATTGGATAGAGATTCTACTAGATCAATCACAGGAATGCCTTCAAAGTCAGGGTTTTCCTCAAAGCTCTCTCGTCCACCTTCTACCTCTTCCTCCTCTTCGCCCTCTTCCTCTCCAAACTGATAGAATCCTAGGGGGCTGACATGGGTGCCTGCTGAAATTCTAGCGATTTGTGCTCGTAAGTAATTGCTCTCATTTCCGGGGAAAGGTGGGTAACTTATGACAGGTGCATCCAATCTCCCCGTGAAAAATTTTTTTATTTTTCTTGCCACAACAATTTGTACAGGTGTAACGGATGGTAACTTAATCCAAGGTCTTCCTGGTTCACTGCAAACAAAATATACATATTTGTTGGCACCTGTCCTACTTTCTTCCTTTGGTACAGCCTGTGGGGCTTTGTAAAAAGGCTTTGGTAATTCATCTTCCTCATCTTCATCCACTTCACTTTCTCCATTGGCCTTCTCGTCAGCTACATCTTCCTCCTCCCCCTCCTCTTCATCTTCTCCCTCACGGAATTCTACTTCAGCTACAAGGTAATTCATTTCCAGCCCCAGGATTTTGCCCCAGAAACGACATTTGTGGATTGGGTGGGTATCGGTGAGCTGCTTGAGGGCGAGAAATATGCGGTAAGTCGCATCTGTGCCCAAGCAAACTCCAGCTTGTTCAAAGTAGAAAGCAGATTCCATGACATTGGGAAGACAGTTTTCTGCCTAGAAATACAAACATTGTAGTTAAATCTTTATCCAGAAAACAATGGCCTATTTCTACATTATTTTCTGCACATCTTGATACTAGCTACACTTTCTACAACTTCTTTAACCATTTCTATCAGAATTCAGATCAAACTTTGATAATTTAGGAACTTCAATGGCTCTTTCATTAATTATGAATATACCTCTACCATTGTATCTTATACTCATGAATAACTATAATAGTTATCTTGTTTTATGTATATTTGGGGCAGAAATAATGTAATGAACCCTATTAATAGTAACCATTCAATATCACCTTCTTATTTAAAAAATGTGTCTGTATGGACTCCCATGTATATATGTATTTATATATAACATATACACACCCATTACATACCTCTAACTCTGGAATCCTAGGGTGTCCATATGTTTAGTTTACCTGGCTATTAACTGAAAGTTTATTTGAGTTTACCCAGAGGCACCTGGGAAGAAAAACCTAGTGACATACTTCTGTAAAAGCTGCCACTAAAACCCCTATGCAGCACAATTCTAGTTTGACATGTACGGATGGGGTTGAGATGAGACAGAATTGAGTCAATGGCAATTGGTTTTTATATGGACATGTTTATGCCTATACCCCTGGTGGTGTCATGGTTATGAATTAGGCTGCTAACCACAAAGTCCACAGTTCAAAACCACCAACTACTCCACAGAAGAAAGAAAAGTTTCTACTCTGGTAAAGAGTTACAGTCTCAGAAACCCCCAGGAGCAATAGGTTCTACTCTATCCAGTAGGGTCACTATGAGTCAAATTCCACTTGATAGCTGTGAGGGTTTGGGGGTTGTTGTTTGGTATATGTATATCTATATAGATATGTGTATCATATTTATTTTTTCCTCTGCAATACATATTTATTTTTATAAATATATATGTATGTATATAATAAATAGAGTAAATAAGAATAATATGCTACCCTAATGTAGGGTAACTATATGAGACATTAAAAAGATCATATAATAAAATAAATGTTTAGGCATTGAAGACATAATGAAGTAGTCGATGCTTGCCCTTATTTATAATAATTCAATTTGGATTTAAAACAAGAAAGACAATATGAAATGAAAGAATACAGGAAAATGAACAGGAAGCATCTCAGTCGAACCCTAGAAAAAAGTGATGAGAAAGTTGAAATGACCTGACCTGAAGAACTCTTTTGCAAAGCAAATTCTAGACTCTCAGGTGGAAAAATTGAGATTCTTCCAAAGGATATGGCTTATGAAGTGTGCAGTGCCAGAATAAACATAACGGCTGTCAACTCCACAGTGGATGGATGGATGGATGGATGGATGGATGGATGGATGGATGGTGATAAAAGCTGTATGAGCCCACAATAAAGCGATTAAAAAAAAAAGACTGTCAACCTCAGCTCTTGATGTAGGACTGTAAAATTCTTTCCTCAGCATGCACTGCACCACCCACCCTTGATTTGATCTTGCTTCCTAGAACGATTTCTTATTAGTCTTTTCAGTTGGTTCTTTTTTTCCTAATTGACTTTTGTTTCTTTTTTAAAATTAATCATTTTATTGGTGGGCTTTTAGAGATCTTATAACAATCCATATTTCGATTGTTGTTCAAAATTTCCTTTTGAAGCAGCTCATCTTTCAATATCATATGCTTCAAAGGTTCCTGCTTCACTTCAGTGATACGCAACTTTAAATTTTTCTCTCTTTAACTCTAATTTTTCTTCCCCTATGTTTCACATCTGCATTTCCAGTTACATCTGAGAAATTTTAGGGTGAAGATTCTACAGATATCTTGAGTTGAACTCATATTTCTCTCAGTCATTTATATAAGCATATGTATCTTGTCTTTGGAAATAACTTTATTATATAGTCTGTCTTAATATTTTACTAATCCTGCCAGAGACCGTGGTGCCGAGAGAGAATAGCGGAAGGTGAACAGGAGGTATGGAGTGAGCCTCGAGGCTGGAGGCTTGCATTTAAGTATTTTCCTATTTGATTTCAGCTCACTGCAGCAAGGAGAAGCCACAGAGAGTAGCTATTTCCTCCTGTACATTTGCTCATTGTCTGCCTGGTAATGTGTTTTAAGCTCTTTGCATTTCAGCGTGAAGGCATCCGTCACATGGCCTATACCAGGGGTGCTCAATACGTCGATCGCGATCTACTAGCCGATTGCAAATGTAGTGTGGGTAGATCGCATGGCATTAAAAAATAGACATAAACCTATCATCAATCCATCACTTAATTGATGTACAGCGCAGCCAAATCTTAGGTGTCAAACGCATGTGCAAACAACTGTGCTAAGTGCAACAAAACTGACAAGCTAAGTTATCGCCAATTTTTATACCTTGTTTTTTTTCTCTTAAACGTAAGAAAGGGCATTAAAATGAGTGGGGGAGCTGGGCCAAGTAAGAAGACAAAAACGTATCACTTTCACACGGAATGGGAGATTTTAACACTACAAGCCGACATTCAGCTGAAGTCTAGGGCGCATGAACAGTTCTGGAACTTACTCTCAGAGGGAAAGTACCCAAACATGAGAAAATGTGCTACCTCCTTGACTGCATTATTCGGCTCTACTTATTTATGTGAGTCAGCCTTTTCCCACATAAAGATCATTAAGTCCAAGTACCGTTCCACCATGACTGATGATCATTTGGAAGTGTGCTTGAGGCTGGCTGTCAGCAGCTACTGTCATACTATGCATCCCTGGCTCATTCCATTCAGGGCAAGCCATGACAGTAAACTCAGGTTATGGCAAAAAATGTACATAGTTAATTGTGTTGGGTTGTGCAATATGGACTCGTGGTTATGCAAGGTACATAAACATACATTATACATATAAAGAATTATCAATGCATTTATGAATAAATGTAATAAATAAATAAAAATAAATATATGTTTTGCATTTTTGTAGTTGGTAGATCATTTTGACTTGATCATTTTATAAGTAGCTTGCATGCTGAAAAAGTGTGAGCATCCCTGCCCTTTACAAACTAAAAAAATTAGTTATCTTTACTTCCTCTGACTCTCTTGACTAGTTGGCGTACTATTGGTTTTAACCCCAAATCCAGAACCACGGCTGTCAAGCTGATTCTGATGCATCGCCCTAGTGGGATTGCTGGACAGCATGGTCTACAGATAGATTTTAGGTGGGCTAATTGTAACAAGCATGGAAACTCAATCAGTATGCATAAATTGCAAAGATACAGGGCATTTAAGAAACAGAATATTGGGTTTATTTAGAAACATTTTGATCTAAGATTTCTTTTTTTTTAATCGTTTTATTAGGGGCTCATACGACTCTTATCACAATGCATGCATACATCAATTGTGTAAAGTGCATTTGTACATTCATTGCCCTCATCATTCTCAAAACATTTCCTCTCCACTTAAGCCCCCGGCATCAGGTCCTCATTTTTTCCCCTCTCCTTCCCCACTCCCCCCTCCCTCATGAGCCCTTGATAGTTTATAAATGGGTATTTTGTCATATCCTGCCCTGTCCGACGTCTCCCTTCACCCACTTTTCTGTTGTCCATCCCCCAGGGAGGAGGTCATGATCTAAGATTTCTGTGATTAAAAGGATTTTATTCTCCAGTGATAACTTTTATGTTTTAATAACATTCTCTGACTGAGTATTCTCAACAATTTGCCTGCATTGATTAAAAGACATATTTTATCTTTTTACTCTTGCCTGTGTTTCATTGAGAGAATATGGATAATATAAAAAATAATATGAGGCCATAAAATGCATACTATTAAAATATAATATTAGGAACTCACCTCAGAAGGGAGTGCAAATGGCATTTGAAACATATGCAACTTGATATAAGGCCTAGCTTTTAATTATGAGGGGACTTCAATATATTTATGGAAAAATTCATTTATCTTTTAATTCCATTTTCCATGACTTTGCTAAAGCCTCCTTGTATTGGGTATCATGCATCCAGCAAAAGTTCAATGAAAATGAATAATAAAACCATATCTTCACTAGGCATGTTGGAGATCATAGAAGATGGAGAAACCATTTCTTCTTATTATTATGTTTAGCCTCACCATCATATAAAACGCAACTAAGGCCTATGAGATACTACATACCAATTTGAAACAAGAAACCAGAAGAAAAATAGGAATGCTATGAAATGAGGTTGATTGGGAAAGATTGTGAGATTAAAGAAAATTTAAAATTCAAATACAATCTCAAAAGTTAAACCCACTGCCAATTCTGACTCCTGGTGCACACACATGCTTCAAAGGAGAGCTGTGCTTTAGAGGGTTCTCCCTGGCTGTAATCTTATGAAGGAGATAGATCTTCAGGTCTGCTATAAGATTGGATTCCAGCTGCCAATCTCACAGTTAGCAGCAGAGTGGAGCTGTACTCAGGAAGCTATAAAAGGTTCTACTCTGTGCCATTGGGTCTCATATTCACCCTTTCGGACTGAGTAGAATTGCCCGTTAGGGTTTCCAAGCCATTAATCTTCATTGGAGCAGACAGCCTCACCTTTGCCCTGTGGAGCAACTGATGGATTTAAATCTCTGACCTTGAGGTTAGCAGTTCAGCGCTTAACCCACTCACCCCACCAGAGATCCTCCTATGAAAGACAGCATGAATCCAAAACCTAACATTTAAATTATTCAAATGTACAGAGTAACTTACTATTTCATCTTCCAGATCTTGGTCAGCTTCTTCCAAATTTCCTTGGAGAAAAAGAGCCTTTTGCTTTTCTGCTAATTCATATGCTGGAAGCATCTCGTTTTCGTTTTGGAGTGTGTCTAATTTTTTACTAAAATGTGCCTTCTTCACATCTTGACTAATACTTTCAATGATTTCAACAGCATTTTCAGGACGCTCATCTAAGACCTTGGTCAGCATGTCAGAGAGATGATCATATCTATATCAAAAGAGAATTTTTCAGAGAATGTGCCTGTCAAACACATTTGTCTTTTGGTTGTTGGCATTTAAAGAATTTCAACAACTTGATGTCTTCAGAGATTTTAAGTGGATAAACATTTGCTAGGAAGAATCTCTCCCAATTTTTTTTGCTTAGGAAATACTCCCAGTATGATATGTATTCCATTTTAAAAATATGGAAAGACATACATTCTACATTTGCCACATTTCCACAATTTACCTGTGAGATTAAAATTACTTGATTATCTACTGAAAAGTAATATTATTTTCCACTTTTTACCTTAATCTTTTTCTGATCCTCCTTCCTGGCTTCCACCAAACACAATAGGATTTCTCAATTCTGTTGACTCTTTTTTGTGAAGATGTGTTGACTTTCCTCCCATTTTTAAAGTTCTTGATCACTTCAGAGCTTTTCAGATGTATTAGAAATGCATTTCATATTGCAACATTTTTGCCCACACATGAATGAAAGAAAAGTGTTGTCAAATCTACTCACGTTTACTAAAATGTCATGCACGCAAGTAGTTTTCCTATTCAGTAATAAGAAGCCCTGATGGCACACTGGGTTAAGTGTTGGGCTGTTAATTGCAAGGCCACACTATGGGAGAAAGATGAGGTGGTTGGCTCTTGTAAAGACTTATGGTCTCAAAAACCCCACGAAGCAGTTCTACTCTGTTCTGCAAGGTCGTTTTGAGGATTGACTTCACAGGAGTAGATTTTGGTGGACTTTTATTCTGTGAAAATCACTGCCTAGCCTTTCAACTTCATGCTCGAGTCTTTAATTTCCTCCATGGAGGCTATAAATGACATCAAATTAAGGGATTCAGGTTCAAACTGTAGTTTTACTTGCCAGGTCTCAATATGTCTACCTGTGCTTTAGTAAAAACTATTCCAATAGAATATTGTATATAAGATCACATCTGAAAACGCCTTCTTGGCAAGTATAACACATGGTTATTGTCTTCCATTCATGACTATGCATTTTAGAATAGGGATATATTAATATTTTGTTTTAATAGAATGTCAGAAAGATGGGAGTAATTTTGGATCGTTTTTTATTAAATGATATAAAAACTAACATTAGATCCTGCATTTTAGTCAAACTTTTCTGTAATTGCAATAGGTAGATTTTATATTGTTAAACAAATTTTGCATATAGGAAAAGCCATCCTCTTACTAAATACATTTGTACGGCAGTCTCTAAGTACTAGAGGATAACAGTTAATATTATAGGCGATATTTATTAACTTCCTCAGACAAATAGTATTTAGCAATAAAATCAAATCTCAATATTTAAGTAATATCAGTTATAAAGCAGTTATAAACATTTTCTTCAGTAAAGAAGATGTTTCCATTTTAAGTTATTAGTGAACTTCCAAGTACTTAAATGAGCTTCTCTAGCATTTTAACAATGTTTATAAATTCATGCTTGTTATTTAATCTAAAGCCGTAAAAGACAAATAATTTATATGTGAATTTCAAGTGGAATCCATTACTTAATAGCACATCACATGCTGGCAGCTGAAATAAATTGTAGTTGAAAAAAAGAACAACTACTAAATAATATTTTACATTTACAAAGATTTCTCACCTCGAACATGAATTGGTTTTCTATTTTTTGACCTTACAGTTACATCTCATACTTTAAAACATCTATTCATAGCCGCATGCTCTACATTCAGTAAGCACTCAATGTTTGCTGATGAATCAGAAAGCATCTCAGCAGAATATGATGACAACCAATTTAGATTCAGCAATCTTGAATGTATCCCCATGTGCTGCCATTTATTCAGTCATTCATTTAGTAAATAATTGATTGCATTATGCTAGGCATTGAGTATATAGACATGTATAAAACTGATATGATGCTTGAGCTATTGGGACTTCCAATCTAGTAAGAAATCAGATATTTAAAAAATAAGTCTCTATATATTCATTTATAAAATTATAAATGGCATTGGGTGATACTAAGAAAAAGAACAGGGCATTGCAATAGAGTTCTATTGTAACTGGGTTCTGTAAGATAAGAATGTAGGAAGACTTAGGCAAAGGCTTAGGAAGGCGGGGAAGAAGCCCTCTGGGCACAGGGAGCAGTATAGGAACTAAAGAGGTCTCATGATTCGAACTCGGTGACGGAGATGCCACGAACGGTGAGTGCTGGGAGTCATTGCGAACTTGATTGCATTAATTTCTCCATGATTCAGACCCCTCATTTAAGAGACAAGTAGGTTTCAAATAAATGTTTTCTGTTAATAGGATCCCTTCTAACCCCGAATTTCTATGACCTTCTGATTGTGTAACCCTGGAAACAGGAATCTTTAGAAAGCTGTACTCAGTGATGGGTTCTGAAGCTAAAGCAATAGTGAGATGGCTGGCACATGCCTGGACCACTGGGCACCACATGTTAAGAGAGATATGGGAAAAGCAGTGTATTCTGAGTGGCTTTTAAGGTGACTAATTTTCTGGGCTTCAGAAACTGTGAGGTTTTTCTTTTCCTTCTTTTTGCCACCCTGACTTCTGCAGTTAGGGAAGACTGGGGGCTCCCTGTAGCATGGCTGGGAGATTTTCTGATGACGGTTGTTCAGTGCTAACATTAGGTAGACAGGGGAAATGGGAAGACTGGTCATAGTGCTAGCCTAGGTGAGAAGGAAAATCCAAGTCATGCAAGGCCTAGTAAAATGCCTAGATGGGAGACATGGTTCCTTTTTATGAATGGGCAAGTTTGGAGGGTTTTTTTGTTTGTTTTTTTACATCTTGGGAGATGTTTGAACTTGACTATCAGTTTAGTCTTCCTCAAGTCTGAGAGCCTTTAATTACCAGGCTTTGTTTCTAGGTGCCTAGGTGGTGTCATGGGTTATGCGTTGGGCTGTAACTGCAAGGCCAGCAGTTTGAAACCACCCATCACACTGTGGGAGGAAGATGGGGCTTTCTGCTCCTGTAAAGAGTTAACCGTTTCAGAAACCCATAGCAGGCAGTTTGCCTCTGTCCTTTAGGGTCACTATGAGTCAGTGAGTTTAGCTTGGTTTGGTTTGAGGGCCTTTAAAAGGTCCCTGGTGGTGCAAATGATCTAGTTTCATAAAGAAAAACCAAGTGAGCTGGCACACCCTATGCCACAGGATTGCCACGAGTAGGAATCAACTCCGTGGCATGACACAACAAGGGTTTTTAAATACCCCCCCCCTGCTGCCCCAAATACCCAGCAATAATCTCTTTAGAGTCTAGTAATAGAGTTATTGTCCCCAAGTGTTATATTTCTAATACATTCTGTCCAAATGGATAGCTTCATTTAACTACAAAGCACATTGTTGCACAGAGAAATCCACAAGCCCCTCTGTTTCCCCAAACCTTTCTCTCCCAAACTTACAGATTTAAGCTTGACTTGCTACTGGTCTGCAGTAGGTAAGCCTTAGCATTCTGAACAGCAATCTCAAGCATGTTGGGGGCTGCTTCAGAGACTTCAGGCTCCACCTGATCAGGATCCTCGTTACTGCCCCAGTCTTCCTCCAGGAAAAGACCAACTCTCAGCTCTTTTTGTTGAGAGTGGTTTGAGGTCACATGCCCTGGCTGGGGTAGGTGAGGTTTCGATTGCTGAGACTGTTGGAGGGCGTTCCCCTCTAATTGACTTGTTGGATGAGGAGTGGATTCTTCATCATCAGTCGTGTGTTCTACATGATCAGAACGAGTTGTTTCAGCGTCAGGAATCGCACTAGTGAGCTTGTCTGATGGCCAAGGTGGGACAAGATCCAGTTTGGGCAGCTCAAGGGGAGGACTGGGAAGGGGGTCCTGAGGAGAGGCTCCAGGCAGTGATGCTCCGAATGTGGTAAGGTCACCCGCAGGGGTGCTGGCTCTAGACCGGGGGCTGCCAGGCAGGCTGCTCCTGGGCTGGGGTTCTGTTTCAGGCCCTGGCTCAGACTCCATGGGCTCAGGTAACTTAGGCTCCTGATCTCTGGAAGAAGCTGCTGCCATTTCTTCCCATGGCTGCCCTGCTTCACCTGGTTCTTGGCTTTCCTCTTCCTGGTTCAGAATAGTCGAGGCTTCCATGGAAGGAGTCAGGAGAAAAGTCTCTGGAGGAGCGGGGAGTAGAGATGGAAGGAGGCAACACAAAGCTGAGGCCTCCTTAGCGATTTCTGAGCTCAAGTTGCCCTGCTAGTTGCAGCGTCCTCTCTCCATAGCAACTCAAGGCAGCGTTCCCTTTTTTTTTTAAAAAAAGCAGCAACTAACCAACGAAAACCAAGAAGCAGCTCTGTTGCTAGGATTAAAGAGAGACACCAAGTACTGTGAAAATACTGGGCTTGTGATTTGGTGGAGTCGCTGCTTCTCTGCCTAGTGCAACCAATCAGCTCTGCACTGAAGCAGGAAACCTGAGAATGTTTCTGCGTGCTAACACCCCTTGAAGAGGGAGCAGCAAACCCTCCTGGGCGGACCTAATGGTCTAATAGTTGGATGTATGTTAAGCAGAGAGGGGTGAAACATGCATTAATGGAGATACCTCTCTCTGTCTCTCTTTTTCTCTCTCTGACAGGGAACTGCAGCGGGGAGTGAGAGGATGGAGGGAATTGGGAGCTATAGGGAGAAGGAAAGGGAGTGGGGTGAAGAGGGAGCGGGACATCTTGGGAAATTTAGAGTTGCTGGTACCCATAGAACCACAGTGTACTCCCGAGTACAAAATTGACAAAGCTCAAAGATGTCTCACCTGGGCCCATGAAACTCAGGAACTTTTGGAAAATGATCAAAGTCCTGCTTTTTGCTTTTTCCTCCTAGAATGAAATCTTCCCTGAATAGGCAAAAGATTAACTTTAAGGAAAAGAAAACACAGAAAGTTCGTTCATGAAAATAAACAGTTCAGGAGTTACCTGTTTCTAATAACTGAAATTCAAATTAACTCTAAAACTAAATTGGCATAATCTTCATTTGACAATAACATTCAGAAGCTTTCAATGAGTTCGGGTCGTGATTATGACTAGCAAGTCAATCTCCAGCATGAGGAAGGAATAGAGGATCGGGCCATTTCTCTGACTATGAGCTGCAAATTAAAGTCCTTAATTTCGTTTTGGTTTTTTTCCCCCTTGAATTTCTCTTTTTTCATAGACCAATTAAAACTTGGTATGTGAATCTTTTCACTTACATGATTTCCAATATCCACACGGTTCTCATGAATTCTAACTTCATGGAAGAACATACTTGCTCCCTATTCTCCTCAATTTCATGGGGGCATCAGTACATTTCACAATTTTTTCACCCCTCAAACTCCTTGCCACGGTCACTTCGGACCCACTGGTGTTACATGCCATCAGGTCAGTTCTGACTCCTAGCGACCCGATGCAGAACAGAACCAAACACCTGGTCCCGTGCCACCCTCACAACTGTTCTTATGTTGGAGCCCATTGTTGCAGCCACCGTGTCCTTCCATTTTGTTGAAGGTCTTCCTCCTTGGGGCTGCCCCTCCTCTTTACCAAACATGATGTTCTTCTCCAGGGACTGGTCTCTCCTGACAACATGTCCAAAGTACTTTAGATGATGTCTTGCCATCCTCACCTCTAAGAAGCATTCTGACTATGCTTCCGAGGCATTTCTTTTGATTTGGAAGTCCATGGTATTTTCAATATTTTCCACCACCATCACAATTCAAATGCACCAATTCTTCTTTGGTCTTCTTTATTCAGTGTCCTATTTTCACATGCATAGGATTTGATTGAAAATACTATGACTTAGGTGAGGTGCACCTTAGTCCTCAAAGTCACCTTCTTGTTTTTGAACACTTTAAGAGGTCTTATGCAGCAGGTTTACCCAATGGCAACGCGTGTTTTGATCTCGTGACTTCTGCTTCCACGACCATCCTTTGTGCATCCAAGCAAGATGAAATCCTTGACAACATCAATCTTATCTCCATTTATCATGATGTTCCCTGCTGGTCCAGTGGTGAAGCTTTTGGTTTTCTTTACACCGAGTTGTAGTCCACTACAAGTCTTGAAAACAAAATCAAGCTCACTGCCATTGAGTCAATGCTAACTCCTAGTGACTCCCTGTTGGTTTCTGACATGGTAACTGTTTACAGGAGTTTGTTTGTTTGCTTGTTTATTTATGAAAGCCCAGTTTTTATCCCGAGAAGCTGCTGGTGGTTTCAAACTGTGGACCATGTGGTTCACAGCCCAATGCATTACCACGACACCACCAGGGCTCTTACCACTCCCCAATGCATCTGAGGATGCACGTACAAAATTTTGCATATAATTTCTCATGGTACAGGGATTTCTTTATATAAGACTCACATTTTAAGAACACTTGAATTAGATGTATGGACAAAGTGAAGGAAAAACAGAATTGTAAATTGGACATTTTTGTTAATTGATTAGAAGATTGAAGGAGCTAATATTTTTTCCCCTTTCAAGGTTTCTTTCTCTTCTTTATTGCAGCTGGCATATGTGGTGGGGGTTTGCTTTTCTACCTCTCCTCTGGAGGGTTGTTGGGTCAAAAGAAAGCAAGCAGGACGGAACAGGCTTAGAGTGAGCCTCTCTTCACTTTAGGGGGGAAATTCACGGAAAGTTTGCAAAGTGGTTTGTCCACATAGAATAATCTCATAATCTTGTCTTGATTCAAGCTTTAGTTTCAGTCTAGCGAGATTGATTCCAATAAGTTTCTAGCTGTTTCTCATTGTTCTTAAGACAAGGACCAAAACCTATAGCAGATTTACCTTTCCATCACCTTCATTTTGAGTCACCATCCCTTTCTCATTCTGTAATTCAGTCTGTCCAATTCTTCTTTCAATTTCCCAACTGTCTTGCATTCCTTCCAACCTCAAACCCATTGCTCCTGTTGTTTCCTCTACTTGAAATTTTTCTTCCTTTTTTCCCCCACTTAGTTCTTTGCCTTAGAAAAATCTTCCCTGGTGTCAAAAAAATTGCACTTTTCCCTGTCATATCATGTTCTCTCAAAGCACCCTGCAGTGTACATTTATAACATTGGTCACAATTTGTAATTGTAAAGGACCAGCATTGTTGTTTCTTTCTATTTTTTGGAGGTTGTTTTCATATCTTCTTTTAAAAAATATCATTTTATTCGGGGCTCATACAGCTCTAATCACAATGCATACATCTATTCACTGTGTCAAGCACATTTGTACATATGTTGCTATCATCATTTTCAAAACAATTTCTTTCTACTTGAGCTCTTGGTATCAGCTCCTCATTTTTTCCCCTCCCTCGCCTACCCCCCTCCCTCATAAACCCTTGATAATTTTAAAAATTATTATTATTTTTCCATATCTTACAATGACCTATGTCTCCCTTTACCCACTTTTCTGTTGTCCATCCCCCTGGAAGTGGGTTATATTTAGACCATTGTGATCAGTTCCCCCTATCTCCTCCCACCTTCCCCTTCCCCTCCTGGTATCACTACACTCATAATTGGTCCCGAGGGGTTTACCTGTCTGGATTCCCTGTGTTTCCAGCTCTTATCTGTAACAGTGTACATGCTCTGTTCTAACTGGATTTGTAAGGTGGAATTGGGGTCATAATAGTGGGAGGGAGGAAGCATTAAAGAACTAGAGGAAAGTTGTATGTTTTATCAGTGCTATACTGCACACTGACTGGCTCGCCTCTTCCTTGTTACCCTTCTGTAAGGAGATGTCTAATTGTCTACAGATGGGCTTTGACTCTCCACTCTGCACTCTCCCTCATTCACAATGATAGGATTTTTTGTTCTGGGTCTTCGATGCCTAATACCTAATCCTAGACACCCATAATCACAGAGGCTGGTTTGCTTTCTCCATGTGGGGTTAGTTGCTTCTCAGCTAGATGGTTGCTTGATTATCTTCAAGCTTAAAAGATCCCAAACACTATAGCTTTTAATACTCAGGCACCATCAACTTTCTGCAGCACATTTGTTTATGCACCCATTTTGTCTTCAGGGATCGAGTAGGGTAGGGGAGCATCACAAAATGCCATGTTATTACAGCAGTGTTCTTGCATTGAGGGGGTACTTGAGTCGAGGCCCAATGTCTATCTGCTACCTTAATACTTAACAAATATATATATATATATAACTATTTCCCTAAGGTTAAATATAAATATATTTCCATATGTACACGCTTATATTTAGACCTCTATAAATGTCCTTTGCCTGCTATGTCTTTCCTCTATTTCCTTTTACTTTCCTCTTGTCCCACTATCATGTTTGGTCTTCATTCAGGTTTCAGTAATTCCTCTCGGCAACATTGCCCTTGATCAAGCCCCCACCAGGCATGCTATACCCTACTCTCAATAGATTTTAGTTCAATTGTTGTTCCCTGTCCCTTGGGTTGGTTGACATCCCCCTTCCTTTCCCTGACTCATCCTTGCCCATGTCTCCTTGGAACCACCAGTCCAGTTGTTTTCTCCTCCAAATTGTTTATCCTGCCTATCTGATCTAGATACACCTACAGAGAATAATAAGCACAAAAACAAGACAGAGCAAAACAAAACAACAAAAGGAAACAAAACAGCAACAACAAAGAACAATGAAAAAAAAGAAAAGCCTCTAAGTGGTTCCAGGTCTGTTTGTTGACCTTTAGTGGAGTTTTCCGGTTGAGTCTGATGAGGTGCCCTGTTCTGGCCCCAAAATCTATTTTTGGTATTCCCCAAGGCCTTCATTGCTTTGCTCCCCTTGCTGTGCTGTTGCACCCCCTTAGTGTTTCACACTCATGTGATAGGGTCAGATCAGACATAATTTCCGCACTGTGTCTCCTGTGTTGTCCTCTTTAGCACTATGGGTCAGTGAGGGATGTTGTTTCTTGTGTTGGGGCTGGCACTATAGTCCTCTCTGTGCATTGGCTGCTCTGAGCTGGAATATCATTCTCAGGGCTGGTGGGCCAGGATATGTTCCACTCTGACCTTCTCTCTTTGTTTGCTCTGATAGGAGGCACTACTCTCCCTGAGCTGTAGCACCAGTGCAGTCCTCTAAAGTGCATTCTTTGGGTGAGGATGGGGGTTTCCACATAGTTGGGAATGGGGCTGCCCCTGCAAACCTCTGTATTAGTTCCCTGCTTCATGCCAGTATGTTGCATT